AGCCCATCTTGGGCGTTCGACCATTTTAAAAAAAAAAAAAAAAAAAAAAAAAATTTTGCACTGGACGCCCAACTCGGGCGCCCAAATGCAGCTTGCACGCCCAACTTGGGCGTGCACTGCATAAATGGGCGCCCAAGTTGGGCTTTTACGCGTTTTGGGGGGGTTTTTGGATTATTTTGGAAAGTTTTGGGGGTTTTAGTGTAATAAAGTATTTTTTTGGGGGGTTTTGTTAAAAACCGCAAATAGCAATTTTCAAACCGCAAAAAGCAATTCCCAAAATAAAACTTATTGCAATTTATATTCAGTTACTCTTACCTTCTTTTCAATTTCATCCCGATACCACTCGGTATATCAACCTCCCCTTCTTTCTTTGCTTGGATTTATATTCAGTTACTCTTACCTTCTTTTCAATTTCATTCCGATACCACTCGGTATATCAACCTCCCCTTATTTCTTTGCTTGGCTGTTTTGGCTGAGAGAAGCTTCAACATCCGCTGCCCAAAGAAAAAAAACTTATATAATGAGCATTAAAAGGCCGATATAATCAATCTGCATACATTTAATTGCAACATAATAATAATAATGAACATATGAAATTTTTATCAAGTTGTCTGATCAATTGTAAACATAAGGAATTTTTTCAAGAAAGTTCTAAGTAGTAACATCATTGCCTATAATAAAACCTAAACAGTTAGACATGCATATATCTCATGTATCTAAAACATAGCTATAGCATATATGCATAAATGTAAATACATTTAATTGCTAGGAACTGCAAGTCCGTAATAATAGAAAATTCAAGAAGATTGCTGCATAAACTATCTATAAAAAGTACTATCTAAACCATCAAAATCATTTAGAGACAAGAAACGCCGATAGTTGTTTTGGAATAATGAAGTTTTTAGATTCATAATGCAAAACAAAAAATGTGATAAGAAAACAAATAAAGAGAAAATCACCGAATTTAGAAAGCAAACAAATCAAGAGAAAGAGAATTGCATTGCCAGTCGTAGGCTCACGAACATTCTAAAATACATACAGTTTCAATTAAATGAACTTATTATCGGCACAAATGCATTCAGTAACTATAGAATTATTTGAGAAATAATTTAAACCTTATCAGCAAGGTAAAGAGCAGACACAGCGGGGAACGAGTAGTTTGCTACAACGAACAGTAAAGCTCGAACAATTGGTAATGTACAACGGCGAGCAGTGAATGTCGAGACAATGTGCAAGAGCAAGCGGTGAACGGTCATAAATTCCAATCCAACTACTAGCCTGAGAAAAGGGAAAAAAATTACAAGTTTGTCATATAAGATTTTAATCCAACTAACAAACAATATCCATTCATCAAATATCAGCAAAACACATAA